AGAGATAAAGCAAAAGTGTCAGAGATATGAAGAAAGCTGTGTAGTAAACACTGGGATCTATTAATGCCACTCTTAACATCTTTTATTTACTATTTATTATTCAAACTGTACTAAGAAATGTGAAAGTCTCATTTAAAATTAATTTAATATTCATATAGTTAAACTTGCAGTTAAAACTTAGCTATACTGAGATAATTTAATGGAAAAAAAGGGCCAAACACAACTTTGCATTGACGTACCTTTCAGGTTAGTGTAAACTTCTAAACTTGCCTACCTTTTTCAGGGAACGGGAGTGTTATAAGGCCCTCAACATCATTCCAGAGGGTTTGCACAAATTTTCAAGTTATTTCTGGGAATAATTTTAACCATTGCTTGGCATTTAATTGGAGTATGGAGCTTTTTAAAGCTTAGAGTAACTCTCATCAAAACAAAGCTACACTGATGTTTATTTCCTATCAATGGCAAACTTAGTAAGCAAGCTTACTAAGTTATACCCAACTAGTTTGGAACATTTTTAATATTAACTACATGTTAATAAAATATCCAAAAATATACTACCTGTCACCTGAATGTTATAAAGTTATGTAAAAAATTGTTCAGCTGAAACACAGAGAAACAACTGATGTGGTTTTTAGGAGAATGAAGACCAATACTTAAGGCCTAGAATTTAGGGAGTTTTTTAAAGAATAAAGTTATCTTATGTTTACAATTTTCTTCATAATGTTTCCCCTAGCTTCCTTCTCTCATTCATTTAAAATTAAAAAAGAAGAAGCAAAAAACAGGAAGTTTTTTCTAATTGATGCTTCTTACTAGTTTCATTCTTAGTTACAGATGAGAAAACCAAGTAGAGGCAGAGGAAAGGGGCTGTCTCATCCACATCACGCTCCATGTCGGCCTCTTTTAAAACATCACCTTACTTGTTATAGACTCTTAAAGGTAACAAAAATAAACTCAACACCCACTCCCTAATTGCTTTTATTATTCAGATCTCTATCAAGATGAAAACTATCAGTAAAAATAATGAGAATAATTCCCTAAGTTTCTCTGGAGAACACCACTTGCAAACTGAGAAGCCATTTATAAGATTTTGGGATAAAGTAAATTAGGGGATTATTTAAGCATAAAAGGAACTTTCTATTTTTTTACCTCAGTTCCTAAATTCAAACATTTTGATTTGGTTACAAATTTAGATAGTTCTAAGATAAAGTATAAGAAATTTTAAAAAGTATAATTTATGTAGTATTTGATATAGGCTTGATATAGAAAAAAAATTATTTCAGCAATGACTATGACTACCAGTGCTATATTCAAATATTAATGTCTCATAATCAGCTATTTAAAATTTAATAAAATGTAATTATTTAATATCAAACAAGCACTGAAATTTTCAACTTTTCACTTGAAAGGCTTTATAATGATAGAATTTTTGACTATGTCTAAAATTTCAAAAGAAGAATTTTAATTTTTACAACAGGTAAGAAAATGGTGATAAAATGCTGATTAAGACCAAATACTAAATTATATGCTACATGATTATCTTTTGCAGAAGTACTATGAATTTCAAATGGCACATTAACTTATTTTTAAAACAAGGACCATGTGTATTAAAGCAGTATTCTCAAAATACTGTATTTTCAAAAAACCTGTATTTGAAAAAATTTTGTATATAAACTTTTTGTTCTTTTTAAGTATAGTTTACATTCCTTATTTTCTGATTATAGGCAGAATGGCGAATTTGCTTATTTTATAAGCTTTACTTTTTTATAGCATTCACATGAAATATCACTTGGTCTCTATAATACTTAATCTAAACTTTCATCATTTCTAGTTAAATGAAGTATTCCACTACAATTATTCATCTTTAACTCCTTCAAGGCACACTAAACCCTCTGTACAGTGCTCAAAAAATGTTACTTGTCCAGGAGTGGTGGCTCACCCCTGTAATCTTCGCACTTTAGAAGGCCAAGGCAGGAGCATAGCTTGAGGCCAGGAGTTCGAGAGCAACCTGAGCAAGAGTGAGACACTGTCTCTATAAAAAGTAGAAAAATCAGCTGGGCATGGTGACACACACTTGTAGTCCCACCTACTTGAGAAGCTAGCGTAAGAGGATCACCTGAGCCCAGGAGTTCAAGGCTGCAGTGAGCTATGATAGCATCACAGCCCTCTAACCAGGGCAACAGACTAAGACACTATCTCAAAAAATAATAACTGTAATTTAATAATAATGTACTAAATTAAACTGGTGAATACTACTATAGATTTAATGTCAGGGAATGAATTTGTACAAAACAAGTTTTATGGTATTTTAGTAACTCGAAAACTTACTAATTATTACACAAAGCCAAACAGCTATAACTGTAGCCAAAAGTCAACTTTCATGAAAACAAACAGTGAGAATACAAGCCCTCCCTCAAACTGTTTTTCTTTTGTTTCCTTAATAGCAATACTGGATACTTTATCTTCCATCTGCCCACAAATAAAACAAGCAATGAAATGAACAAAAGAGTAGAGAATAAAAAGAAATGAGGCACTTAGATAACTTACAAATTAAGGGACAGAGAGGGGGAAAAAATCATCAAGTTAAAGACTAAGTTTCTAAAAGATCGACTCAGAGTTAATATCATTATGCAAACATTTTCCCCCTGGGTATATCACTGACTGGGTATAGTTGGAAGTTAGTTATGCAATGACATTGAGAAAAGCTCAAAACACCGACCATGACTGTATCAAAATATTAGCAAGACAGAACACATGGGTTTAAGCTCCAAGCGTCATGTAATCTGTAAGTAAACCTGGGCAAAGCATTTCATCTATGTAATACACAGTTTCTCCATTGATAAAACCAGGAGTAAAATCTACCCTAATTATATTACAAGGTTTTCATGAGACCCAAATGATGTAAAGTATATGGAAGTATTTTGAAAACTATTAAAAATCACACAAAAAATTAAAGGGAATACCTTTATTAATTGAGATAAAAAAGTTTATTTTGCTTTTTAAAAAAATATAGGATATATATTTTATCCTTTTAAGTTTTTCTTTTTTTTTTTGATATAGTTTGGAATTCTATGGATACCATCCAATTTTGCTTATTACAGAAATTTGTTTCTTCTGTCGTTTAGAAGTTCTTCTCTCTCATCCATAGAAAGAACAGGAAAAACATCCTCATCTAAAACGTATTGAACAGTTAAGTAATTTTTAAGGCAGTAATGTAACTAATCCCTTCATTAATTTCAAAAAGTATACAATATATTATGGCTGACTTCTACTCCTAGTTACATTACTAATTTGTCATGGTCTAAGAGCAAATCACTGAAATCTCAAGGTGTTGCAATTTTTACCTCTACTGAAAAGGTGAAACATTAGTGTGATCAACTTACCTGACAAGGCAAGTTCACCTTCACAATTGAAGGGGGCAAGCAACATTTAATCATGAGAGAAGTTTCCCTCCACACAATCTACCAATATAATCATACCCTTTGAAAATTTCAAAGTACTAAAAAAAGCCCATGAATTGTTTTCTTTTGAAGCTATAAAGACAAATTGGGAACTAATTTCTTTATTCAACAGAAATAGTCCAAAAAAAGCAAACCAGAAACAGAAAAAGTAAAAAGAAAAAATTCTTTACCTTCATATTTATGGATTAAAAAAAAAATCTCCCTTGTGCAATCACAAAGGAATTCCACTGATTACTAAGAATTGTGCACCAAATAATTAACACTGTTTTCCAGCAAACTGAGATTTTAGGAATCGTATTTATTACCTTATCTACACATATCCCCTCAAGGCATAGCCATTAATGACAGTGAAAAGTTATTTCCTTCACAGAAAATACTTTCATTTTATCTTCTGCTTCCTTACTACATAGGAATAAACTTTACACTGATTATCATTTTCATGTTATTTTTTCACAAACCATTGTATTTTAAAAGCCACTGTTTTGTGAAATAATTTGTTTTACAAAATAATTCTGACCACACACAAATTATATCATTTTATGAATTAATTACAACCGTACTAAAGGTTTCTACAATTGACTTTTTTTTAATTTAAACATGTTGAACTAGTGGAAACAGACAGACATACAGGTTCTCTGCCCTCTCCTTCTTGGTTTAAAGGTACTCCTAACATACAGGAAGCAGCTTTTATTAAAATGTGACTATGTAAAGCAGGAGTCCTCAAACTATGGCAGCCTGCGACGGCCCACCTAGGACATTTATCCGGCCTGCTGGGCCGCAGCTGCCTGTCCTGCTTAGCAGCCGACTTGTCCCGGGGCCCGCAGTCTGACCCTCCAGCGGTCTGTGAACTGGCCCCCTGTTTAAAAAGTCTGAGGACCCCTGATGTAAAGCGTAGTATTTAAAGAGCCCTTTATTCTTCACACAGTGGTTAGTTAGAAAGGAGCAGAAACACTGCTTGGAAAGCTGTATGTGACATATAACCACTGTAATTCAAATGCTCAGCAAAATATGCTAAAATCTACCTAAGAAACAATTTTGGAGAGAAAGGGTATACCCTTTCTCAAAACTCAAATACAGTATTTAATATACTACAACTTGATCAAAGGGAGAAATGTCTGATCCTTTGGTTTTAATTTTAAAATCAGTGTACTTGAACCAAATTCTGTTGCACTAAAATTACTAATGAAGTACAATAATACAGGGTAAATATTTATTTATAATTTCTTCGCATGGTTTCCCAAACATTTTTACTTCTCTAGACCTTATCTTCATACTTGTAAATTTCTGCTGAAAGTTTCACTGTTAAAATAAAACTAATCCAGCCATGGAAACATATAGGCATTGTTAATATGCATAATTTTCTTTTAAGTTTAGCATCTTAACAAAGACATGAAATAAATACTTCTGCATTGGTGGAAATTTAAAGTCAAATAATGAATGAACTAATTTTGAAATGGATTTCCTTTGTGATATGCAGAGTACCTTTGTCAAAAAGCCTGAAAAATCAGAAACAGCTATAAAAAGAAGAAGACTGATAATTACCATATTGAAATAAGATCGAATTTTGACTCCTCGTGCCAGATCCCACACTATCACGTTTCCATCATGACCAGCAGAAAAGAGAACTCTAGGATCAAATGGGTGTGGCTCAAGAACAAAAACCTCGTCTTCATGACCCTGAAATATTTTTGAAGTGTTAAAAGTATTAAAAGCATTAAAAAAGAAAGAAAAACAAAACAGAATACAACTCCAGCATGGCACCATTTCTAGAAATAGTTTGAAGAAATATTAAATTGGCAAAAATCTTCACATCTGCCAATGTATAATTAATATTAAAACTGAGCTAGTGTCACTCACTGCCCAGGGCTTTGCTATTAATTTATTGAGACATAAGGAAACTATGAATGGATCTGTAAGTATCAGAGAGCAGCAAGCACCTACAATGTGTTATGTTTCCCAAGCCAAACCTATTAAACTGCATTTTTACATGATTCCCAATCTCCTCCAAAGCCTTATTACCCTAGCAAACTAGAGTTTCTAGCTAACATAAAAAACTTTATTCCTCAATGAAAACATTCCATTCTACAGTCAGCTTCAGTTATACCAAATAATGAGTCTTTTTTTCTCACCATCAGGACATGAATGAGTTGGCCCGTGTAAGAATTCCAAACTTTCAGAGTCATGTTATTAACTGCCGTTATAACTGTATTGTCATGTCGATCCCAAGCTACCATAGTGACTTTCATTTTTGTGATTTTATCTTCTATTCCTTGAAGGTTTTGGCTGAAAGTTAGGAAAGCAATATTTGTTTATATACTGATATTGCTAAAATACTGGTATGACAAAAACCAAAATGCATCTTAACTTATATTTACCTTCATTAATATAAGTAACGATTCTTTATAAGTAATTGAGAACAGTGTGAATCAACACAGAATGATAGCAAAAATCACTGCACTGAGTTAGGATCCCCAGGATTCTAGCACTCCTAAGCCATTAGTGACAGATGATCTTATCACTGCTGTAACCTTCTGTAATCGGAACTCTATGCCACAGTGCCCATTCTCCACTTTTACTGTCGCTGTCACCCCAGGCTACTGCCCTGTTCTCCCATGCATCTGAGATGACTACACCCAAAAACAGGGAGAGAAAAAGGGTAAAATATGAAAGTAACAGCGACAACATGTGATATACTTTATCTTGGATGAAGAAAACCACTGTGTGTATGTGTGTGTGTATACATATATGTATGTATATATATGTGAGAGAGTGTGTATATATATATATATATATATCATCCCTCTGTCATAGATTAATTATAGTATGTTCTGGTTTCTGAAGAAAATATTAAATGTTACAACTATTTTATCATACCCTTTATAAAATTAACTAAGAAGTCTTCTCATACATGGCAATGAATCATTTCATAAAAATCAAAACCTTTCATCAATAATAGCACCTCTAGTTAGTACAGAAAAGTAGTAATTTTAACATGACATATGAGTCTGTAGGCTCAGCTAACAGTAATTTATATCCGTATTTCAAATTTGATCTCTTACCCTGCTGGACGAGTAGCCATATCCAACAATATGCTCTTCCATTCTCTTCGTTTAAACTGCCAAATACGTGCTGTCCCATCACGACTCCCACTCACAAATCTATATTAAAAGGAGTCCAATTCCCCAAAGAAAAACCATACATGCTTTACCAGAAGGTACTTTCCCCAGAGTTTTGTTTGAAAAAAACAGCATTCATCTTTAATTACACAGCATTCCAATACAATAAAGCATTTTCTCAGTCTCTCTAAATTTAAGAACTTCTAAAACTTTATGGGCTTCTAAAATTTTATAATTGAATGCTCTATGGTTCATGGCTAGGGCTCAAAAGTAACATTAGAAAGTAATTCAAGGTCACTATTTACTACACTGTATACAAATAGAATTGATACTTGCCAATGGAAAAAACATCAATTTTCTTCTCAAATTTGAAGAATTTGACTTATTCTACTCATAGTACCTAGAAATAGCTTTATTTCCTTTTATAACAAGAACACAGGAAAATCGACATACTATCATCTTTTGTCATAAACATATTTTCAATCTCTAACAAAAGTTTCTCTACCCTTTGACACATTCAGGGACTATTTGATAAAAGGTATTAAAATTATGAAAGTGCTCAAATATACTAACGTTATTATAAATACAATATAAAGACATACCTTTACATACATGTGAAAGCTGTACTCACTTTTAAGTATTACCTGGTTCAAGATCTTTATTTTAGGTAATTATTTCCTATGTTCAACCCTAAACAAAATCAGACTACAAGAACTGTCTTTATTTCATAATTTTAAAATCAGAATTAGACAAATAAATGTTTTACCTGCTACTAGTGTTGGAAAACTGGATACTGTCAACTTTGTCCTATATATAAACAGATAAACAAGAAAGGTGCTGAATATAAACTGTTAGACGCCATTTCAATTATACACATCTAATTCCTTTCACCAATACTTACAGTATGAAACTCCAATTCCGATATTTTCTCTGGCTGACCTGATCCAAAAAAATAAACCCTAATTATGTGATCTGTGCTTCCTGTGGCCAAAAACATTCCACCTATGAAGAACAACAGCAAACATGCGTAAAATTTCAAAATCTCTGAGAATTAGATAAAATGCAAGCAAAATTATAATGCATAATGAAGTATAATATTTTGCTCTAAAACCACTCCATGTTTATCCTAAATATATATCTCACAGGAATTTAAAAGTTTACTAAGGTAGTTTGACTAGGTTTTTAATATTTACAGAAGTAAAGCCTTGCACTAAAACTTTCACTACATGATTACATAACGTTAGTGGGTAATGGCTCGGTGCCTGTAGCTCAGGGGCTAGGAGCCGGCCACATACACCAGAGCTGGTGGGTTCGAACCCAGCCCCGACCTGCCAAACAAGAATGACAACTACAATCAAAAAATAGTGGGGCACTGTAGTGAACGCCTGTAGTCCCAGCTACTTGGGAGACTGAGGCAAGAGAATTGCTTAAGCCCAAGAGTTTGAGGTTGCCACAGCACTCTACAGAGGGCGACGTAATAAGACCCTGTCTCAAAAAAAAACAAAAAAAATTTTACTGGGTAAAAATTATCAGTCATCTTCACTAGAAAATATGTCTCTAACTCTCCTCAAATCCCTCTCTTGTCCTATGTCCCATATGTCCAAGTCACATCAAAATGTTAAGACTTGGCTCAGCACCTGTGGCTCAAGAAGCTAAGGCGCCAGCCACGTACACCTGAGCTGGCGAGTTCGAATCCAGCCTAGGCCCGCCAAACAATGATGGCTGCAACCAAAAAATAGCCGGGCGTTGTGGGGGCCGCCTGTAGTCCCAGCTACTTGGGAGGTGGGGGCAGGAGACTCGCTTGAGCCCAGGAGTTAGAGGTTGCTGTGAGCTGTGATGCCATAGCAGTCTACCCAGGGCTACAGCTTGAGGCTCTGTCTCATCAAAAAAAAAAAAAAAGTGAAGACTCAACTCTATCAGTTGTAAAGGCCTTTACAAACTCTATAATCAAATAAGCCTGAACTCACCTAAGACTTATAGTACACACATTCTACTCCCTTCGTGACAGCAACCCTCTTCCATGGTGTTTAAAACAGTGTTTGTATATAATGAAATATTTAAGTATTATTGCTAAATGATCTACCCACTGAACCCTTAAAAAAATCAAATTATATTTGAAAGAAGCATAAATTCAGAGTACTTTGAATACAGGTATAGTGCCTTTATTTGTGTTATTACTAGGAAGAACACTAAATTCATGGCAGTAGCACTGGAAATCTAGAAGTCAGAAAATGAAATTTTTGAATATTAATAAATACAACAAAAACGACTCATTGCACTATCCCTTATCTCAGGTTATGCTATTACTCACAATTATAAAATAAACAGACAAAGTAAAACAAAAAATAAAGGTGAAAGAACAGGTATTAGGAATATTATAAACAATATATTACTGTTTCTTTAATTAGTTTTTATCAATGCACTTCAAAGATCCAGCTAATTTAAATTAAAAAACCCTAACATTCATTCAAAATGCTGCTGTATAAACTCGAAACCTAACTGGAATACTAACAAAACTATAATGCTGCCTTTAAAAAAGCAAATCAGGCTCAATGCCCATAGCACAGTGGTTACAGCGCCAGCCACATACACTGAAGTTGGCAGGTTCGAACCCAGCCTGGGCCTGCTGAAACAACAATGACAAATGAAACAAAAAAACAGCAGGGCGTGGTGGCAGGCTCCTGTAGTCCCAGCTACTCAGGAGGCTAAGGCAAGAGAATCACTTAAGCCACTTAAGTTTGAGGTTGCTGTGAGCTGTGACACCATAGCACTCTATCAAGGGCAACACAGTGGGACTCCATCTCAAAAAAGAAAAGAAAGAAAGAAAGAAAAATAAAAGAGCAAATCAAAACAGTCTGGAGCAAATTAAGAAGATTAAGAAATATCTATCAAATTTATTTTACTTAACTATGGGATACCACCAAAATCCATGAAAATATAAACCATATCTAAAATACTTTTCTCACAATAAGACAACTGTTTAAAGATTCATTATTTAAGAGTCAATTTTCAAACTATTTATTCCCTCCTACTAGAGTAATATTTTCATGTGTGATTACATAAACAAAACTTCACAATAGCTGAAAAATTTCTAAGTTAATATATGATCATTCTTGGTTACTTACTAACTCTGGCATATATATAAGAACATAATTCACAATATAATAGTAAATATTTTCTGTTTTCCACAAGAGGCTTTCTAATGTAGAACTTTGATGAAAAATTAAAGGGGAAAAAAAAAATCTTACCAGCACTAAAAGAAGAACAGATCATTTGAACCCCAGGCCGTGGGCGCTCTGTAAATTTTGCAGGTCTTGGACTGTAATATAAAAAATAAACAAAAATAGCATAAGGGACCAGTAACACCAGAAATAAGCTATTTCATAAAATAATCACAGAGGACAAAATGAAATATGAAGCAACATATGGCACCATTCCTAAAAACAACTTAGAAATCATTACATGTCATAAATCAACAGATAACTATAGAAATTCTAGATGTAGATTTTGCAGGAGCTCCTGACTATATAACAATCTTAACATGGAACAATCCCAAAGTTTTTGTTACACTAGACATGTAGTTATTAGTTACACTCGCTTCTAATTGAAGTCTCAGTTTTTCCTAGAGTAATATGGTAACATAGAAATATATAACGAAATAAGCTATTTGCAAATATGAACATACTAGCTAAACAGGGTAGCTTTCGCGTACCATCAGTAACTGAACTTTTGATAATTAAGCTTCTCCCTCTGTCTTCTAATGTAACAAAGTATGTCCTTCAACTGCTCTCTCCATGCCTCAGGCCACAGACTGGTACCAATTCATGGCTTGTTAGGAAGCGGGCCACACAGCACCACCACCTGAGCTTCACGTCCTGTAACTCCCCCAACCTCTCCCACACCACGGAAAACCCGTCTTTCATGAAACTGGTCCATAGTGCTGAAAAGGCTGGGGATCACTGCTTTAAGAGTTCAAAAAGTAAGACTATTACACTTATGAAATTTTTAGTGAAAATCTGAGGGCTCATCTGACTCTTAAGTCAACTGTAATGCTTCTTCAAAATAGTGATCTACAGAAATGTAGTGATCTACATTCAATTATATTTAATTGTATAACTGTATTACACATAATGTTTGTATTACTATTGACATTAAATGTTTGATGTTACAATCAACCATATTAAAGAAAAAGTACAGAATTTTAGTCATGGTATCAATACATTTATCAATGAGTATGTAATGCTACAGTATACTGATTATGTGTGAAGCCCTACTTACTATAACTTTTGACCTAGTTTTTCTCCTACTAGAGAAAATGCAAACTATATTTCAAGCCCTATGCCTGAGTGTACTGTAGAACTTCCTCAGTATCAAATATAGAGTGGTTTCAGTTTTGTAATCATTTAATGAAAAATTGTATATATTAAATATTTCTAATTACACACTCTGAGCAATGCAAACTGTCTTAATACAGAACATAAAAATAATTGTTAAAAATTTGAAGTTAATAAATCTGCAAATTGTTTTAAATTGGTATTTATAACAAAACTTAATATTAACAAGCTCTCATATAGCTGAGCAGAGGTAACATTTAGAGAAATAAGTATTTACCAAAACATCCTTAAAATCTAAACATTTATCCAGAACAAAATTAACTATAATTTAAGTAAATTAATCTGAATTATGGAGGCAACTAAATGTACTACTTTCACTAATATCTTCCAGAATATGTAAATGGTCCTAGAGATTGCCATTTCAAACAGATTTTATTTTATATTTTTAAAGAGAAAAAACAATAAGCAAGATAATTTATTTCTAAAAGCACATGAGGAAATATTTCAGGAGGGCCTTGCACTGAGTTCAGCTTCTAGCTCTGCCACTTCTGAGGTGTATAACCTCACACAAGTTGACATTTCTTTACCTCAGTCTCTTCATCTGTAAAATTAAGGTGAACAATACAACCTGTCACTGAGTTCTTGTTAAGAATTAAGTAACTTTACTCCAGCAGGGCCCAACACTTTTAATTAGGTTCCACAAGCTCTAGAGTCTAGACAGTCCATCCGTGAGTAACTGCTATCTAACTGGGCTCCTGATGACACACTTCTACTAGTAGTATTCAGATCCTAGCAGCTCTGCCCCCTCCTTATGTGGCATGCTGTGCTCTCGTTTTTGCTCCAGAGATAACTAAACCTTCATCATAGGGTTGTTATAAAACTTAACGAGATAAAGTGTTTAGTACTAGCTTGGCAGACTAAGTGCTTAATAAACATTTGTAATGATCTTTATCAGTATATTTTAGGATTCCTATTCTTATATCTAGTACAAGTGTGTTTAGATAGGTTCCTCCTACCCAAAAATCTCTTGAGCTGGCTTCTGGTTCACCTAGTCAACTCAGGTTACCAATCTAAGCAGCAGCATGTTTACTGGTGGAAGTTGGTAACATATACAGAAACTCTAAGCAAACAGGAGATTTGATTTTCCAAAGTTGAAATTTTTTTAATTAATGTAGGTAGTTGGGTTTCTGAAGTCATTTCCCCTGATTATAAGAAAGTACTACAGCTCAATGCAATTTTTACCTTTTAGAGTTAATTAAACCCTATGTGATACAACTATACAGACTATATCATGTCAATTGTTTGGCAAGTTATCAAAATGTGTAAAATGGATCATTCTTATTTTTATGCCTGAACACTAAAAAAAGTTTAAGGAACAATAATAATAGCAAATAGCAAAAAATACTAATAAATAATGAAAAAACTTTAATGTGCCAAAATAAGAAAATCACTAAGCAAAATATGTAATAGCTCAGTAAGATACAATGCAAGCTATTAAAAGTAATATAAAGGCAACAGAAAATTATACACATCTCCCTAATTATATCTATATATAAAAACACATTCCTGGGGGGAAAATACTGTCTTAGGCTAGTCAGTTACATGTGATTCTTTCTACATAAAGATTCTGGAGAAAAAAAATTCACATGGGAAAAACTCACTTTTCAAGCATCCAGAAACATGAAATATTGCTATACTTAGCTAGTCATTTTTTTTTCTCTATGAAAACAATACAGGAAAGGATAGTTATCCCACTCAGATCCACACAGAGATAAAAATACACTAAGGAAAGCAGTAACAATTAAGTATTGCTATTGTCTATACACATCATACCAGTAAAGTATTTCAACTTTATTCAACTATTATAGAAAGCCTAAAGTAAAACCAACTTACTTGGTCCAAAGAATTATGTTGTAGACATAATCTTTTAAAAAATATTTTGTTTTTAAATGAAGGATAGTTACTCAAGTCATGGCCCCTCAATCTGGCATAAGAACCAATCTATAGGAATGTTCCTACACAGTAAGTTTAAGAAGCATGCTTCTTTATTAAATAATTATCTAAATACTACTACTTTAAAATAACAAAGGCATTCACGTTGTATTAAATACATCAACTTGGGTTGATAATTCATGAACAGAGGTCAGAATTAATTACTGAGATAAATGTTCTAATCTGAATGACTTTCAACACTGGAATCATCGGGTATTTCCTTGTTCAAAGACTACCTATACGGCAAACACAGTACTTCCTCTCCCCCTGACATCTACTTAAGAGACAAAGTGACCATAGGGCAGGAAAGGGCTCTAGTCCTGAACTTATCAATTTTTTAAAAAGTTGTTTTAATTATGTGAACAGTATTTAGCTTTTCTTTACCTCAGTGTCGTGAATCAAAAGATAATACTGTCCAGCCAACTTGCTTTGATTAACGAAGATATCAATATAGGCAAAAGCAAAAATGCAAAATGCTATTGCAGGGAGACTGAGGGCAGGGTGGGGGTGGGGTGCGTCTATAGGTCTTTTGTAGTTTAATGAAACCTTTTTGTTTTCCTGTTTCCCTAGATCTACAGTAGTATCTCGAGTGTATAAATTGGGTAACAAAAGATTAAAATTATTCTAAAGAATAATTAGGACTGCTTAAGATTATGTTCTTAGCAACAAAAGGAGCTACTTAGACAAAACTATGCAGCACATAAAAACAAGTGGTAATAAACCAGGGATAGAGGCAGAGGTAGAACTAGGACAAAGATCAGAGAAAAAAGAAACACATGTTAACATGGGAAAATTTTTCTGTCAAGCATAAAAAAGGGGAGGCCTAAAAAATAAAAGAGGTCAGGAAAGAACCAAAAAAAATTTCTGTTCACTCAAAGAAAACTAAATTCTTGTTGTTGACTACTTTATATTTTTGCCATGTCAACCATTAAGCACATTTATTCTATGAAATAAAATAGCAACTAACTTTATTTTAAGGGTTCCAGCATCCCAGAGCCAAAAACAAATAGTGCCATCTGCCCCCGTAGAAGACAGATATCTCTTTGAGCCACTGCACAATGGTGAGAACTGAAAAACAATCACAGAAAAAAATCTTTACAAGAAGCATGACACAGTCCAAATAATAAAATCCACTTTTTACCATACCAATAGCAACTACCAGTAACCGTTAGAAACACCCAGTATTGATGAAGGCCACAGCTACCATCTTAGTCAAAGCCCACATATTTATAAGGAAAGCAGAACACGCCTTTGTTTAAACTGGCCTTATATACTGGATTATACAAGGGACTTCTTTTTTTGTTTTGTTTGTTTTTTCAAGACATAGTCTCATTGTGTCACCCTCGGTAGAATATCACGGTGTCACAACTCACAGCAACCTCAAACTCCTGGGCTTAATTGATTCTCTTGCCTCAGCCTCCCAAGCAGCTGGGTCTACAGGTGCCTGCCACAATGCCCGGCTATTTTTTTTGTTGCAGTTGTCATTGTTGCTTAGCTGGTTCAAAACCACCAACTTCAATGTATGTAGCTGGCGCGGTAACCACTGTGCTACGGGCGCGGTACCTGTGACAACTTTTTTTTTTTTGAGACAGAGTCTCAAGCTGGTGTCATAGCTCACAGTAACTTCAAACTCTTGGGCTTAAGCAATTCTCTTGCCTCAGCCTCCCAAGTAGCTGGGACTGCAGGTGCCTATCACAACGCCCAGCTTTTTTTTTTTTTTTTTTGGTTGTAATTGTCATTATTGTTTGGCAGGTCCAGTCTGGATTCGAACCCACCAGCTCCAGCATATGTGGCTGGCGCTCTAGCCACTAAGCTACAGGCGCCGAGCCTATAAAGTGACTTCTTAAAACTTACTTTGAATTATAACCAAAAGTGACTTCATAAAATTTACTTTAAATTATAACCAAAAAAGATTTTATAGGTCAGAAAATTACCTGTAATGATGTGATCGATGCGCTATGGCCCTGAAGAACAGCCAGAGGTGCACAGGTTCGAAGACACCAGACTCGGATCATCTTGTCACAACTTCCCGCTGCTATCATGGTATTCTCATAGTTTACAGCCATGTCTGATATCTCAGCAGCATGGCCTCTTAAAGTAGCTAATAATCTCCCATCATCTGTTGCCCATATTTTTACAAGACAGTCATCAGAACCCTTAAAATAAGAATGGATATTAGAATTAATCCCATAAACCTTAATTCAAGTTCTTAGCGCTGATAAATCATCCTCTTATATCCATTTCAACAATTACACTTTTAAGTACTGAAAAGTGCTAAATACATGTGTTAGAAATTTTCCTCTACATAAAACTCTTTATTAAAGTATTCACTTATAAAGAATATGTGTGTGCCCATCAACAAACTAAAGGAAGAAGCTGGTGATAATTAATATTTACCTCTGGTCCCCTACCTACCATTCAGAGTAATGTCTATCTAGACTCTTGTAAAAGAATTTTAACTTCTGAAATAATAAAACTATAATTACAATCAAATATAATATACCATGGTGACTAACACTATGCTATTTTGGTACATAAAAAACTAGAAGTAAGCTGATTGGTGATTTTTCTCATCACAAGCTAGAAACATAATACATTGTGTTTCCCTACCATTCTTCTTTAGCTAAAAACATGAAATCACCTAAAACCAATTAGGGGGAGAAAACTAAACTTATCTGTATGAAGTCAATAAAATCCATAAATTACTTGTTTGCTATAGAAGTATAAGAAAGAAATTGTAAAGAATACAGAGTTTCCTATGAATACTTATATTCGGAAATAAACATTCCAATTTTATATAGTTGATATACTTTATTATTATAAAAATTTTTAATATGAAAAAGTAAAAGAATGTTAGTAATATCAACCTCAAGTTCAAATTTATCAATTTTTGGTCACATTTTCTAGATTTTAATATAAAATTAAATTAGGAAGTAAATACTTTAAAAATTACTTGATGATCTTTAGGAAATAAAGAAAGAATTGTACCAGACTATAATTTCTGGAAAGCTAGTTTACACCACTACCAGGCAGAGGGGAAGTACAGTAGGGATTTGTTGAGTAAGGAATGGCTTTACAGCACTCATTCAACTAAAGTTTTCTAAATTCTACAAAGTGGACCAATTTATTCACTACATTTGCTTATCTTACTTTCAAAAATTAAAGCAGAATTTGGTTCATCTGCGTTCCAGTACTAAAACAGAATGTTAAGCATGCTAATGTAGGATTAATAGAACTGTTAATCATGCTTTCTAATCCTGATATTATTCATTTTGCTCTTATGAATCTGAATTAAAATGTGCTTGGCATTCTACTATAGAAGGTGTTTCACATATTTTTCACGTTAACAAACAAAAAGCAGCCAAAGTCTTGACCAAAATATAAACTTCAATGAAATAATAGCAGTAATACATGATCAAAAATCAGCCTCCAGTGACTTTTCAGCAATTAAAAACTAGGGCCAAACATGATGCTCACATCTGCAATCCCAGCATTTTTATAGGCTGATGTGGGAGGGATTGCTAGGGGCCCAGAGTTTAAAGCAAGACCCTCTCTCTTAAAAAACAAAACAACAGGCTCGGCGCCTATAGCTCAACCAGCTAAGGCGCCAGCCACGTACACCTAAGGTGGCAGGTTCGAATCCCCAGCCCGGACCCGCCAAACAACAATGACGGCTGCAACCAAAAAATGGCTGGGCGCTGTGGCGGGTGCCTGTGGTCCCAGCTACTTGGGAGGCGGAGGCAGGAGACTCGCTTGAGCCCAGGAGTTGGAGGTTGCTGTGAGCTGTGATGCTATGGCACTCTACCCAGGGGGACAGCTTGAGGCTCTGTCTCAAAAAAAAAAAAAAAACCAAAACAACAAAGAAAACCCATAGAAAAATCTAATAAGAAATCCTACTGCATTCCTACTGGGTTTATTAATTAGTAATCAATCATACCAGTTTGTAACTTTGCTCTGTTTAGACAAATACAAAATCAGAAAAACAATGCATATTCTCCTCCAGCAAACCTTCCTTTTTGAACCCTTTCTTTTCTTCCATCAATCTGCAGAAGAGAAATGGCTGACTGCCTTTTTAGGGAAGTATGACTCCATTATACCCTTCCATGAGCTACAGAAGTTCCTGCACTTACCCTTATCCTTAGCACTCACAACTACTGGCAAAATTTCAAACAAACTTGAAGCATTCTTAAGTTATTTCTGTTATCATGCATCGTTACTGTCATCACTGATATATCTGTGTATCTGAAACTAAAGATAACCTGAGAACAAAGTCAATGGCGTTCTCTTAAAATGACCATAAGAAATACAAATAACATAAAAAAAAATGACCAAAAGGACTTCAGAAGAAAAATTTAAAGTTACTGGAAAAACCTTTTTAAAAAACACTATGCATTTTAAATGAATATGGAAGGATGAATTAAAAACTGATAAAAAATCTTTTTAACAAGACCAGATTGTAGAGCAGAATTTGAACAAACTTTCTACAAAAGCCAACCTCCAGCTCCCAAACTTTAACTCAGGTCAATAACCCAAAGAGCAGGACACTGTCAACAACATATGATACATCTTTTCTAAAATTTATGAAGGAATAAGAAATAGAGATAGAGCAATTTTAAAGAAAACAGGAAGGAAATCAGATGACTGTAAACTTAGCAAAACCAAAACAGTATCTAATAATTTCCCAAAAGGTAGAGAGTGAAGAAAAGCAAAGAATGAAACAAGGCAGTGGAGAAATTTTAGAAATACAGTGGAATAAAAGCAATAAGCACGAAAAATTCTGTAAGCAAAAGTAAAAGACCTACTGATTTTAGAAACACCTCAACTGACATAGTTTTTTTTTTTTTTTTTTTTTTTTTCAGCAAAGCAGTAATGCCCAGGAGAAAGTAAAGAGTCACTTCATTTCAATAACATCTAGATGTTGCTGCTAGGTGGGGCTGGAGATTGGGAAAGAAAGAAACCTTGGGAATACAAAGTATAAGTGAAAATAAGAAATTAGACCAAAAAGCTTTACCTGAGGAAGATACAGAGTGTTTTAAGTACCTGTTGAGAAACTTGGGTTTAACCTGGCAAAGCAGCCACTAGAGAGTTTTAAGGAGACAAAGTCTGGTCACTACAGTGACAAGATCTTGGTAGAGTCTATGTGGGTAACAGACCTCAATCTTAAAAAAGAGGTCTAACACAGAGATAGTGCTTCTGGGCATTAATCAGCCTACAGTAGCAGCTGAAAAAATGATAAGCAGGTAAGACTGCTAAGAGAAACTATTTAAACCCTAGAAAACTATGAATGATTTTTTGTAAAACTCCATGACTAGGTACAAAATGGAAAATGACTTTTACAATTTATTTTTAAATAAAATTATTAAGCTAGTGTTTAATCTGAAACAAACTTAAGCAAGCAAGGGATCTCTACTTTCACTTTTCAGTAACACTGAATTGTCTTTTATTACCATGAAAGAATGCTCATTAATAAGTTATCATTTGTCTACTTACATCCAACCTACTGTAAGCTGGAAAAATTACAACAAAGTGTACAGCTTTCAGCTTACCGAAATCCCAAAACAAAACGAGACTCCAAATTTACAATGATGAAGCCAAGGAAAAGAAGAGAGGACATGTCTATTTTTCCTGAAAATGCAATAGTGGAGGTATTATTTGTGAAAAGGTCTGGTGGAAAAGGGTAGGAATTAAAACTTAACTTATTCAAACCAAAAAATTTGGCCAGAAGTACCCAAATGATTAAAAAACAAAAGTGACTCTAAAATAGTCAATATGCTCTGCACCAGGGGTGGTGCCTGTGGCTCAAAGGAGTAGGGTGCCGGCCCCATATACCGGAGGTGGCAGGTTCAAACCCGGCCCTGGCCAAAAACTTCAAAAAGAAAAAAATAAAATAAATAAATGCTCTGCACCAAGGACAAAGGAAAAAATGTCTGATTCCAGACATTTACTCTGGAATCAAAGTTATTTCACCTAATACTTTTAAATATAGCATAGAGATAGTGGTACCAATGACTTTCCTTCTGACATGCAACTTATGACAAGCAATTCTGAATTTTTTTTTTTTGTACATCAAAAAAGAAAAGTTCCACTTTTTTGAATCCCTTTGGAAATTGCAGTGTTTCTTCAATATAAAAAGACTAAGAGGCAAAACTCAGATGAACAAAAACAAATACAGTAACTAACAGGTCCCAGACACTGCAGGCTTAGTTCTAGACCCCACAATAAAGCGAGCATGGCAATAAAGCAAATCACACAATCTTGTGGTTTCCAGTGCACATAAACATTATGTTTATATTATGCTACAGTTTACTGGGCATGCAAAGGTATTATGTTTTTAAAAAATGTACATACATTAATTTAAAAATACTTTATTGCCAGGCACTGTGGCTTGTGCCTATAATCCCAGATATTCGAGAGGCTGAGGCAAGAGATCACTGAACATAAAGAGTTTGAGACCAGACTGGGAACACAGAGCCTGACTTCAAAAGTTTATTTGAAAATTTAGCTAGGTGTGGTGGCTATAGTCCCAGCCACTTGGAGGCCGAGGCAAGAGGATCATTTGAACCCAGGAGTTCAAGGCTGCTGTGAGACATGGTCATGCCACTGCATGCCATCCTGGAGAACAGTGTGACAACTGTTCTCACAAAAGCTACAAAACTTTATTGCTAAAAAATGTTAATGATTATATGACCCTTCAGCAAATTATTGTTGTTTTAATGGTGGCAAGCTCTTGCCTTGATGTTGATGGCTGCTGACTGATCAGGATAGTGGCCTCCTGATGGTGAGGTGGCTCTAATAATTTAATATAAGACAACAATGTAGTGCGCCACTTTAACTCTTCTTTAAATAAGAAAACTTCTCTGTGGCATTTGATAGTGTTTGACAGCATTTGGGTCAGTGTAGAACTTCTTTCAAAATTAAGAGTCAACCTCCTCAAACCCTGCTACTGTTTTATCAACTAAGTACTGTTCATCAACTTTGTTGTCATGTCAACGATATTCACAGCATCTTCACTGAGAGTTGATACCATCTCAAGAAACCACCTCTTTGCTCATCCATTAAGAAGCAGCTCTTCCTCCATTCAGGTTTTATCATGGGGTGGCCACAATTCAGTCCTGTCTTCAGGCTTCACTTCTAATTCCAGCTCTCTTGCTGTTTC